GACATCGACATGTTTTTTCTTCAAAGCCAAGTAATTTCTTTAATCAGGGGATTAACAACCTGACTGTAAGATAGAAAAGCATGATCGATAAGAATGGAGACTATTTCATTTAATAAATATTTTGTTTTGATATATAAGTTCTTTGGGTTTTTCATCTAAAAAAGCGACATTAATTTCTTGACGACCTAATATTTCTAAGAAGTATGACAAGTAAAATGGACCAATATTAATATTGTTCGATGTCATTTAAACATTATTTTCTTATTACTCGAGTATGGTAAATGAGAGGGGTTAAAAGTAGTATTAACTTTCTTCGGATTTTGAAAAATATCGAAATTTAGATTTTCCAACAGTGTAAGCAGTTTTTAATGTAAGGTAAATTATTTTCACTTGTAAAACAAAGAAAAGCATAACTAACTTTTTTAGTGTTAGAGTTTTATATTACGTAGTTGTTTCTTTCAACAGTTCTTTGCTACTCACAATCATAAATACCCGGATGATAAACCGAAGGACAAAGGCTTTTTTTTTAGGCTCCAGAAATTTGTAAGAGCCAGCACTTTCTAGCTCTACGCAAAGACTTTTTTTTGTTGTCATGATGTTTACCTTAACTGTTTCTTGTTATAACTGACTTTTCAAGCACTCACTATGGTGTTACTCGTCAGCACTGGCTTCTATTTATATCTACAATGAAACATAGGCTTAAGAAATGAACTTTAGGCAACTTAGATGAAGTAATAGTTGTATTATTTCTTCTAAAGTATTACACATGTTGGTTGGTGTTTTCTTTATCGACTATATATACATATTAAGAATAGCAAAAATGCTATCCAAGCAATGTTGAACCTCTGTGTTATTAACTAAAAAAATCAGCGTTTAAGATGAGCAGAATATTCACTCATAAATAGTAAGTTTGAAAGTATTCGGGATTTGTTGTCAAGGTAATTGCATGAAATTTGAGCTAAATGATCAATTAATGTTATAATTCAATTGTGTTCAATTAACTCGCAGATATATATATATTTGTATCAATCAACAAACAATTAGGATGAGAAACAAATATACGATTAAAATTCTAAACTTAATTAATTGACCAACTTGCGATATTTACAGATAATCATATTTTTGTGTACATGTAATAGCAAAATAAAGATATGTAATAATATATTCAACAAAAGGTGGAGAAAGCATTATTTCTTTGGTTGTTATAGAACACTTACAGGGAAATATCGATGTTTTCTTTCTGTGAGATCTTTCTTTTGCTTCAGCAGTTCTCGCAAAAGTTCGAACTTCTGATCCATAGTTTTATCGTCTGTCTGAGGACCATGATTTGTACACCTACGGACTAAAAGTTTTAAATAAACAATAAGAACTTGTCTAATACAATTATTATTGTCTGATACATACTGCATATTATTTCAGCTAAAGTCAACATAAAGCTTCTTTTGAAAGCAAAAGACATAATAATTGGAACGATTAACAATGTGCATCTAAGGAAAAACAAACAAAACTGGACGTGAAACAAAGAATATTAGAAGTGTATACACATTGATCTTTCATTTCACAGTCTATTACCGTAGTCTCTTCAGTCTTAATACTTTTTAATAAATCTTAACCTCACCCTCTATACTTTTTTATATTTAACTTTTGTTTAGAAAAATAATTCATATTTTATAGCGAAAGAAATCGAAGATCTTGCACATCACATAAGGTTAAATCCCTGAAAAAAATAATATTTTATTCTTCTTTTGTATTTGAAAAATACAAAATCTGCCCACCACGGATATCGAAACCCAGTTTCTAGCGTTGTAAGTCCGCAGACATACCGCTGTTCCACTGGGGGGGGGGGGGGGACATAGAGTGAAGAAATGCCATGAAAATAAATCGTAGAGATAGGAGAGTAACTGATTAAATGAATAAATCAAAAGTTTAGATTAAGCTGCAACAATAGGATAATTATTTATATTTCTATGTTTAACAGAACCCACGAAAAAAATATTTAAAGACTATTAAGTACATTGAATGAAATGTTTAACAGTCAACAAAATAACTAACCATTTCATCTAGTCTCTAACTGCCATAGAACAAAAAAGCTTAATACTTCATACACATTAAAAGTAGCCGGAAGTTCTTAATTAAATTCTAAAATGTTTCTAACGTACATAGGTTGCTGGCTGTTTGTTTGTTTTTAATTATGCACAAAGCTACACAAGGGCTATCTGTGCTCTGCCCACCACGGGTAACGAAACCCGGTTTCTAGCGTTGTAAGTCCGCAGACATACCGCTGTGCCACTGGGGGGCTGCTGGCTGTTACATAGCGGTCTGATCTATTATAATGCCTTTACACTAATTAACAATGAATTAACAAGAACAATAAAAATACAATAAACATCCACTGAAAGGAAATGGTTATTCTCCAAATGTATATAGCCAGTCGTTAGCGACCTACCAAAACGTCTATAAGCATCATATTTTAACTTTAATATCATACTCCAAGAAAATATTTCTGAATTAGATGCCATCACGTTCTGAAGTATAAAACCAACGTACCGTTTCTCAGGTAACTACTACGCTATCAAAATACATTTTATTAGAAGCTTATTATAAGTTTATCAAATAAAAAAATCAAAGTTTGATATTTTTTTAGGTTTGTGGGATCAGCTATGTACACCAATTTGAAAGAATTGTACGTCAATGCAGATGCGGATGAAAGGACCTATGGGTAGTGACTTCGAGAGAAAGAAGATAGACCTGAAATGCAATTTTTACACAGTTCCGACTTGAAATCTATAACGGACAAACTAAGAAGAATCTGGAATATCTAGATACAGTCTAGCACGATTTGTGTCACGAATATTGGACCTTTTAATTGCGAGTAATTTCTGTAAAGAATCAACCATCACGTAAATGTCGGTTATTTAATATTTTGCTTTTGAAGCTGATAATATAAAATATTACAAAAATAAACGAAATGAAAAACATAAATTCGCATAACTTCGCTATGGAAACTGATAAGAAAGAACATGGTAAAATTTATCATCTTACATATAAATAATGTAAATAGTATTGTAACTAAGACACTGGAGGATAAATTTCAGCCTGTCTGATTTCCTCTGATACTGATTAAAAAAAAACATAGTCAGTAGTAATCTGAAATACGATAGGTTTTGTTGAATTACGAATACGAATTCTCCTTCCACTAGAAATCCAGAAATGTGGTATCTGTAACGTAATTTTCAACAGAATTACCGTATTTTTCGGTGTATAAGACGCACTTTTTTACCCCAAAATTTGATGTCAAATTCTGTTTGCGTCCTATACACCGAAGGTATGAATGATATATATGTATATATACGATATACACAAGCCATGTGTAAATATATTTAAATAGGCATGCATAGTTTAGTTCAATTGAATGTGTTATTTATAACAATAGTAGTTTTTTTTTCTTTTAAAAGCTTTATAATGCTTCCTAAATAATAAAAAAATAAATTACAGTGAAAGCAATGAAGATTTTGTAGGTTTTGAACCAAACTAAATAACAGTAAACCTTTTTTTGATTTACGGTATTGTCTTATTTTGATGTTTTGAGCTCTTTTGTGTTTAGAACAATATATACTAATTTTTAAAGTATCAAATTGAATTTTTGTTCTGTAGCTTTTTTTCCCCCAAAACTTTGTCTTCAAAATAAGGGTGCGTCTTATATTCCGAAAAATACGGTAACCTCCTAAAAGAAATACATTCTCAGAATCCTTAATGTTGACCACTATTGAATTTCGACAGAGTAGTTTTGTTTAATGAACATAAATGTTTTATTAAAATACTGAGCCTCATACAAGCAAGACTCCGAGTTGATGTGAAGCTATGCATTTTCTGTCTCAGTAGATGAAGGTTACTGACTAATTTGTTTTATTTAAACATTAGACAAGGTTTGTTTGATTTTTTAACTTTTGAACTAAGATAGCAGCTTGACCCCTTACACTAATGACAACCTCCTATGGGAGCAGCCATATTGATGGAATGTCTTCTCGTGAAGTCAGCTATCCAGCATAGAACAAATTGCAACATTTGTTTTTATAAACCTGACTCATTCTCTTTAGTATCACAGTGAGATAGAAGAAAATATATTCATGAATATTATTTGATTTTAGTTTACGGCTATACCACAAAGTCAAGGCATCGCCCGTTCATAATTATAGTCGTCAACGTTGTTTAATGTTAGTTCAAAGAAGAAATATTTTGTGTAGATAGTGATCACGAGTACTCGAGTTAATATTTACACCTTAAGAAACATTATTAAAAGGCTATGCCGAAAAATTGAGTACATTTTCAGTTTATAATGCTGACAAGCAGACTGGATAGTGTGTGAGTCCTGTACACGAGTGCAGTAAACGCGACCTAGGACACAGGGGGGTCGAAAATCCTAGTGATGGGATGTAGCACTTACGAATTAACCATTTCCTGTTCATCCAATTATCTTTAAACCTCCTCTTTACGTACTTTCAAAGCTACGTTTTGTTAGTAACTGTTCAAACCACGTGATGTGACATCATAGAAGGATAGCAACCAAGGAGTTTACTAATAAAATAAATAAAACAGAAGGAGAATCACAAAAGAAACAAGATATGGATAATATATTCTCAAGGGTTGGAACAAGATATGGATAATATATTCTCAAGGTTTCGTTGGCTTGGTTATTTTTAGAGCAAAGCCACATTGGGCTATCTGCTGTGTCCATCGCGGGGAATCTAACCCCGGATTTTAGCAGGGGTATTCTCAAAGGATGATAATTTTTTAGCATGTAGAATTATACTCTTTGGGATGGGCAGAATTTTTTTTTTTAAATCGTCAAGTGCGTTTTAACAGGCAGCACAGATTCTTCCGAGCAGCACAGATTTAATGAACCAATTGGTAGATGGGCCAGCATGGAAGCCTAATATGCCATTTTGTAGCACTCCCATTTCTGTATAAATCATCTATTTTTTACTTATTCATTACTGTGTGTCATCAACTGCCTGTACAAATAAATAACAAAAACCCACGGCATGTATCATTTTTCTCTGTATTTATTCTTCCTTGAGTTGTTTTAATGGAAAATTTTAAGGTATATATATATATATATGCATGTAACATATACAATTTCTAAATCTTAAGGATAGTTGATCCACCTTTTCTGTAAATTGTTTGCTCAACAACTAGTACAAGATAAACATTTCATCTCAACAACTAGTACAAGGTAAGTATTTCATCTAGAATCTGTTCAAATTTAATGAATAAATTATTAGATTCTGTTAATGCACGATAGTATTTTTTTAAATCTGTCAGTTGTTTTAAAAGATGTTTTTTTTATTTCATATAAGGTAATATAATACATTATATATTACTTAGAAAGATTTGAATAGTAAAATTTATAACAGTTAACCAGCCTTACGTTCAGTCGTTCTCTCCAGATCACCATACTCCAAGTTCAGTCCTTCCATACTTAGCGAACAGGAATGGATACTGGACTGCAAAGCTTCCTTCCAGTCCTTGTGATCTGCCCTTTCTGAATATAAACAGACTGAACTCTGCCCCTAAATAATATACAAACAAATGACGCTCGTGTTCAATGTCTTTCCCACATCAGGGTTTAGTAGGTCATCAGATAAATTTCAAAGTACGATAAATGTAAGTTGCTAAAAGAAATAAATAAGCAACAAGGAATTTTATAAAGATTTCAGAAAAACGTACTAGTTTAATTTAATGTATTACTACGTAGGTACAATATATATACATATGGTATATGTTGTATACTGTACATGTATACATTCACACACACACATATGTAAAAAGTGTAAAGCCTAGGATAGAAACTGTATTATTGTCAACGGTAACCACTTTCATGCGCATGCTCGGTGATACATGAAATGATGAAAAGGTATCAGCATTTTTTATAACTACACTTAAAACCTAAATATTATTTATCTATCTGTCTGTCTGTACGTCTACCCACCTCGGACCAAATATAAAAAATACAGGGTAAATATGATGCTTTGTATACACTACATACAAACTATAGCAACACCTGGTAACTACAACCAGGCAGGGCCTATATAAAAACGTAAGTTATGGCAGCCTTACATTAAATTACAAATGTCGTTCTGCACCAGGGCACACATGTGAGACAGAATTTCTACACCAACTGTGGAGTATGCTACTATGGCAACTACAATGGATTCTTTAAACAAAATTAAAGATTTTTTATCGAATAATAACAATGCTACTGTCATGTAGTGTTTACTTTTATGATTACAGGTAGAGTTTGTAAACCGTTTCAGCCAACAATGCTACTGTCATGTAGTGTTTACTTTTATGATTACAGGTAGAGTTTGTAAACCGATTCAGCCAACAATGCTACTGTCATGTAGTGTTTACTTTTATGATTACAGGTAGAGTTTGTAAACCGTTTCAGCCAACACGCGCTCCGCCACGAGTAAGCTTTACATATGAGTGATGGACCAATTCCACTGATCGTTCAGACAAAAGCTGGTGGTTACTATCTTTCCTCTAATCTATCCATTGAAAATTAGGGACGACGATAGGCAGGTAGACCCTTGTGTACAATTTTCTGTAAAATTCTAAAACAAAAATCCCATAGTTATAAGTTAATATATTATCACCGTTACTAACGAATCTCAATATTATTTTATATCGAAGAGGAAACTGATTACATGAAACAGGTTTCGACAAGATGAGCATAAAGTACACTTATGAAATAGATTTCCCTATACTATCATATAAGCATTTATGCCTATCTATCTACTCTTCTAGAGACATCAGCGTGAAAGAGTTTGGCTTGTATTAATCCAAAATGTATAGTACCACAATGATAAGGAATATAACTTTTAAAAGCATAAGCCTTTCCAGTACTGTCACATCGTTGTTCATTCAACAATGCGATATCACGGTAAAGACTTCAATTTAGTTTTGTGAACAATTCTAGAAACTACGAATTAAGTTATAGTTGTATGTTCGAACGCCTTTGTCAGCAAAAATAATATTGCTATAAAATAATAAGTTAGCAACCACGTTATTCTAAAGAACAAATTATAAAAAGAGATAAAAAATAAATACATATTTAATTAACTTGTGTAATATTCTGAAACTTCACATAAATATTGTTATTACATTAATGGGCAAATTTATTTGGTCTTGAATTCTGCTTAAAAAGAACTACAGAACATTATCGAAGGCCGCCTTTAATTTAGTAGTGATAGCCATGGGATCGTTATAAATGGCGAGCATCTTCGATGATGAGGATTCGCAGATTGCAAGTTGAGCGCCCTAACCACCGGACCACGCCAAGCGCTGCAAAAAAAAAAAAAAATGAATATGTTAGACCTTTACAATAAATAGTTTTAAATAGATCGAATTTAATTTCCCCGTTTATCATCATGCAATAAGTTTACAGACTTAGAACGCTATAATCCGTGGTTTGATTCTCAGCGGTGGACAGAGCCTGGATAGCGCATTGTACAGCTTTACGACAAAAATCATCATACATGTGATCATAGAAGCTCTGAAGTATTAGTATTTTCAACCTGAAAGGCACTATATGTAACACAATTAGTCCAGACATAGCCATCTCTAATATAGAACAGCTGACCAGAGGGAAGGCATCTAGTCAGCAGTTTGCTAAACTGTGAGGCACCCCCCCCCCCACGACGATAACCTAACAAAACTATCACTTTGTTTTCAAAACAGATAAAGAAAATGTTGATTTAGCTCTTTTCACTTGCGTCTGCTAATCATATATATAGGATTTTTAAAATTTTCGTCCTGAAAAGGACCGTTCCACGTACTTAATCAGTACTTGTCTTGATTTTTCAGTATTTATCATATATAGCAACATTAATTCTAATCATTAAGTTTAATTCTGATCTCAAACCATTACACCCATTTCGTTCTTAAAAGTTTAAGTCGAAATTTATTTTGTTTAATTCAGATTCTATGGTTTTTAGATTTACTTCCAGATTGCGTGTTAGCACGAAACATGGTTACTTTCGTTGCAGCCTTTGTCCACCCTGTCAGCAGCACACAACCTAACCTCCTTTCTTCCGGCTTCCTGTTTCCGGCTCTCCACATATGCAGCTTTCCTGGAAGTCTTAAGTTGCCTTTATTCACAACCACGTTACTAAATCACCCACCCACCCACGTTAAAATAACCTAAATCTCTGTCACGAGGCTGTATAAAGTGTTTAAAAAATTTGGCCTTTAGCCCAAAATTTTCAATCTTCACTTTATAGCTTAACTATTTTTCGCGAGTGGGATGAAGAGAAACAGAAAGTTTCTGACAGCTCCCGGTTATCTTCCGTAGTTTCTAGTAAACTCCGGAAGATATCAAATCGAAATACTTGCCAAGAATTGGATTTGGGATTAGAGGCATTTGTTGCCACTTTTATACTGTATCTACAGTTGGAAGTGCATATTGCGGGTTTAAGCCTTGGTCCTTCCGATCTGCATCTTAACATGCAATAATCCAAGTCACATTTGGCTCAGCTCTTGATGATTTCATAGTATGTTATTAAATATCAGGAAATATCATTTGAAAATCGCATTCTTAAGGCAGAAAACGCATATTATTAACGCAATAAAATGCATGAGAAGTTTTTAAACCAGGCATTAAAGTAAATTATAAAACTAAAAACAGGTGCACGTATTGTTGTCCTTTCTACACGTTTCGAGTTTATTTGTAGCTTACAACGCCAAAACAAAGTACAGATTTATACCTGATAGAAACTTCAAGGATAACCGAGGCTAACACGGAAGTTCATCATCTTCCAAGATAGTGTGCATCATCATGCGTTACCACACAAAAAGATGCCGAAGAGATATTGATGTGACAGGCTACAGAGAAGACTGTTTAGATACGTTTGCTCTTCGAAACCCTTGTTTCAACTTCGTTATCTTCTCTTGCGTTAATTTTATTAGTTTGTTTTCGTAATAGAGATTCTGGTAGTTGTTTTAGTGTTAACAAAGTTCAGAAACGCAGAACTTTGTTAGATTGTAAGATATACCATTTCTTCTACCTCTTGAATCTTCCTTCCATTGCTAAATATTTTATCTAAAATAATTACCAATAGGAAAATTACTAAACTGAAACCAGTTCTCTTTGTGTGGGTACACTGAAACTGATTTCATTTGTTTCGGTGAACTAGGACCGTAGACTGGAGGGATAACCCTCCAAATTTCTTCCATCCCGAAAAAAAAAAAAGAAAAGGAAAGGAAAAGAAAAGAAAGAGAGAGTTCATTTTTGAAGAAAGGGAAGAAAACTCAAAATTTTAAATATAAACCAAACGGGGTGCTGGAAGTGACTTCGTATTTCGTTTTTTTTGGGGTGGTTGGGGGTATTTTTGTAAGTATATCCCCTCCCCCATGACCCCTTTCTAAACTGAAGCACATCTACTTGTTTGACAAAATCGGCAATCATCAAACTAAGTCTTCTTTTTTTTCACAAAATCTTGAAACTAACATTATTTACGGCAAAAAAAAAGTAATAATTGAAAAATTATGATAATTCAAACTCAAACCAAACCATTTACTTGGAAACATAAATTCGACGATGCTTTCCGCTTCCTTTTTGCCATACAAATACAAATGACTACCCGATTTCCTTTTATATAGAGTCTTCCACAGTATACTTGTTTTTATACGACACTAACTGATGCGAGGCGTACATGGTAATATTTGAATATTACAAAATTTATTGTTTCCCCAAACTGAAACTGTGAAATCAACCGCTCACATGCGTATATACGTCCGATGGAAATAAATGTAGGGTTACTGCATGTGTACGATTTTGTGTTCACTTTTGTTTGTTTATCACTTCTGTGCAAAGTTACACAAGGGCTATTTGCACATATACGTCTATAGTTTTGAGATGACAGATGAAAGGAAGGCAGTCAAGAGCATTCACCGCCAACCAACTCTTGTGCTTCTCTTATCTGCCTGAATGATGAGTTTTAATCCCCATTCTTATATTGCACATCAACCATGAAATGTAGAACGCGAAGCAACAGGACGTGAACGTGAATTATCGAATTCATAGTTCGGGCACGTTAACCTCAAGGTAACACCCAGCCCGTTTCTTTTAATAAATTACTTGCTATAGGTTATTTCATTTAACTGAGTTACGTTGGTTATCAACCTGCTTTATAAACAGTTGTATCGTATTTCTATTTGAGAAAGTCTCCAATATAAGCTCAGCTACGTCAAATAAACAAATTATAGCCGGGTTTTATGCAAACTATTTCCATGTAAAACGTGAAATGTAAAACATGTTACAAATGTTAAAGGTTTATTTTAGCCAATGTATTTTCTACAGTAACAAAAATGATGAATCTAGATTGTTTTAGGACTTACTATCATAGTAAGTACAGCTGTTAACTGAGAACAACTTTCAGTACAAAAGACAACACATGGAAAATTTGATGTGCAATACCAACATTTTTATATTAACTTGTTTCCAAATATTTTTCACACACACACACACTGTGAAACTTCAAAGTCTAAATATAGTAGGTTTTTTATTATGATAAAACACCTTTAATCAAATTAACATTTTACAGAATCGAGCACGTTACTATATTGGTTATTGTGAGTTCATTAGTTTCTCGTAGCTTTGCAACACGTCTAAAAAGAAATATATTTTTGTTGTTTAATTCGTGTACTGTCCAGAAATTATAGTTAGTCTTACCTTTTCTTCGGCGTTTCGAACTGGCAGAAACTCACTTAGGAGCACACGAGGATATCCAGAAGATTTATCAGAAATCATTGTACATTCAATTTTTTTAAATAAATAAATTCAGGACTATACGCAAATAAGCATTACTTAGAGTTAAAAGCAAGGCTTGACATTTTTATCATTTACCAAAGCCAGATAGATGATTGGATTGCAATATAAGCAACCGATCATTTAAAAATAAAAGCTTATGTTTATTAGAACAAAATCGCTAGTGATAAGAAGCAAGTTTAATGAAAGAGTTTACAGATTAAGTACAATTATCACACATAAAATGGATCGATATTCCAAACTGAAGGAGACACAAGATCTTGAAAAATATCGCTATCCTCGTAAGTTTGTGGATTTAGAATACAAAATTCTGGAGTTCTATTCCTGGTGGTGAACAACAACAACGACGACGATTCGCTGGAAATTCACTTAGAAAAAAAAAGTTAAGTGGTTTGTCTGTCCATTTCACTTCAATCACAACTGACCGCCTTTTTTTCACCATGCTTCACATCTTTTCAATTAATACAATGAATTACCAACAAGTATTAATAATTGTTCATACCTTATAAAACAGCAACGGTTTTTAAGCCATTATTCATACACAGACTCTAATTTTATCTGCTTCAAAGTATCAGTAAGTTCGTCAGTATGAGACAGCCATGTCATATGTCTCGAACTTTGCAATTACACTTACAGAAGTTTAAATCGCCCAATAAAGCCTGTCAACTAAACCTCCAAATTACGGTGGACTTCACTTTTCATCTTATAATTATTTCACAATACACAGAGTTAAAGTAACAAGTCGTACACTACAACAACACTGAAAATAGGTACATTAACCACAACTTTTTTTACAGCTGGCTGTTAGACCGACACAAGTATCTCTACCGGAATTTACATCTACATTCAACTTAAAGTTAAGGGTCTCACTTGAATTACTGACGAGTCTCACCTACAAATGATAACGCCTAGCGGACAAAAGAGGCATTAAAGAGTTATATAAAGCTGCCAGAGTCTCGGATTTACTTATTAAAAGGTCTTAGTTTGACTAAAAAGAAATTACATTTTAGAGTACTTAATAGAACAATGAATTTCACAGTATAATTTAAAGTCAACTTACATTAACTTTCAACTTACCGACTTGTTGTTCACTATCGGTAAGGTCTATATGTTATTCATATATCATATTAAGCAATTTTATGTTTTTGCCTGTTCAAAAACTTGGTGAAAAGAACTAAAAAATGAGTTAAATCACTCAAGTGTGTGTCAAATAAACAGGAGAGTTCATCAATAGTTACAAGAGGATTAACTACCATATTGATAGTATTTTTGTTTAATTTTTGTGAGTGTGTGTGTGACTCGTATATAATTATTGATCCTGTAACTAATAAACATCATAGTCCTAGAGCAATTTGGTGCATAAATAGTTTAGACAGAAATGGTTAAAAATAGGTAATTCTAGAGTTAAAAGAATGCGAAAACTTTTGTCACACATTTTAGTGTATAATGTATTTGCAATGTTTTAGAAAGCTTCCAAAAGCTGATTACGCCGTATAACAAAGCTAACAAATTACTGGCTTTCGGTAGTGTCATAAATAGATTTACGACTGAAAATATTGCTAACAGCGAGGGAAGGTATCCAGTTGATCAATGAATGCATTGTAATTCATGTAAGTTTTAATTTTCTTGTGTATTGATATATGACATTTAGGTACTTCTAGTCCGTTTATATAGAATTAGCAGCATACTTTCTGTAAGGTACTTTTTAACACTGAATTACAGAGTTATATTACTTTTGATTGGACCGGTGTGGTACAGTGGTTAGCGTGCTGGACTGTCAGTCCAAGAGTCCATGACCCTGGGCTCATTGCCATAAAATCGCGCTCCGCTTTATGGCCATGGGTGAGTTATAAGAGTAACTATCAAATTGAACTATTTAATTAAAGTAGTCCTAGAATTGGCAGTGGGCGCTGTTGACTAGCTGCCTTTCCTCTAGTATACAAGCTCAAAATTAGGGACGGCTAGCGCAAATACTTAAAGCAAGCAAACAAACACATAATACTTTTGATCACAAGTTATTGATAATTAACTTCAGTTTCAAGAGACAATACATTTTTAGGTAATCACTGAAATGTCAAACACAACTATCACTTTTTTATAATGATTTTACAACAAAATAGGCAAATTCTCACCGAACTAGTACATAAAAGGGTTTAGTGAGCTTAAACATGCATAAACAAAGTTATGCAAAAGACGACCAAATATTTTTAGACAATTCAGAACCCCAATACTTAACGTAAGTGAACAAAAATACTTCACTGACATCATCCAAGTTTATTGTTCTTTCACGTTTCGTTTCTCACAGTCTTTGCCAGTATATTCGCTCAACAGAGTTTATATAAACTTGTCTCGTATATCTACTGGCTGAAGCTCCACGAGATTTTGGAAATCCCAAAAGAATGACGATTTTGTAAACAGACTTATTTCCGACATTACAAGAGTTTTACATGACTGTAGACGCGGTATGTTATTTTGTCAGGATTCAAACATACAGTAAACAACAAATTTAACCAATCATGACGCAGCGCAATCACACTGTTCGCGTGGACCTCTACATAACCCCTTCCAGTGACTCAGTAGTAAGAGGGCTTTTAACACTAAAGTTCAAAGTTCAGCCCATGCGATGGTCACAGCACCTGTTACCGTGCATCTTTGTACTTAACAACAAATAAACAAACTTCTAAAAACGCATTGTTGTTATCATTACCTTTAAATACAAATAAGCATGTTCATTTAAGAACAAATACAAAAATGTTTCGTTATAACGAAAAAATAATCTTCCCCCACAATATTTTCCCAAATAAGATAAAACGTTTAAGACAGTATATCTTTATACATATTTTTACTTGTGTGCTCATCTATATTATGAGTAGCCGCATTTGTAGTAGTCCGAACTGCTCTCGATAAAATGACATTGAAGCACTAAAGCGGACCTATATTCTGTATTCTTCTGTGTCACATATGATTCGAATAAGTTAAGGTGCCTTTAGACTGTATTTCGTAAGGATATATATATGTATATGTATATATTTAGTATTTATATAAATGGCGACATATACGTCAAACTATGCGTGTGCATACAGTGTGGTTCAGAGGTCTTGAACAATAAAAGAGTTCATTGGAAACTTGATTGTCGCTGGTTTCTTACTACTTATTTACATAGTCATGACAAATGCGGGATAGCTAGTGATGTGCGTTATGCGTCTATTACATTACATGTATTTCTACAAAGTGCCCTCTCCCCCAGTTTGTAAATGAACTGAAAAACATATTCACAAGCTACCTGTAATTAGGAGGTGAACTAACTCTCACACACAATGATATAATAGAATTTTATTCGGTTACCTTTTTCACTAGACTTATTGGTAAGCAATTATCGTTTGCTTCATCTTCCTCGGGCTTTGATGGTTCCAGTTGGCATCCTGAGAGTGGGACAACATCCATTGGTAGAGGATCAGTGACGTTATAGTACACCTCAATTCTTTGGGACTTCAGCGCCACCCAGACTCTGCTTGAATAAGTAAGTATTCCAAAATTATAATGAGAATAAAATATCTAAATGGAAATTGCTTTTCATTTCTCTCTTTTATTTCTTTTATGAATACATTAAAATAAAACTAAAAATATAACAATAAAGGATAATTAGGAAATATTTGTTGACAATTAATAGTGTATAAATTATACTTACCTTCGAATGTTTCTCAACTCACTTATTAATGCAAGTAAGTCAAGGATGTGTACATAGTTCTACACTTAGATAATTAAGCCCAGAAATGTTTACCGAGTCACTTATTAATGCAAGTAAGTCAAGGATGTGTACATAGTTCTCACTTAGATAATTAAGCCCAGAAATGTTTACCAAGTCACTTATTAATGCAAGTAAGTCAAGGATGTGTACATAGTTCTCCACTTAGATAATTAAGCCCAGAAATGTTTACCAAGTCACTTATTAATGCAAGTAAGTCAAGGATGTGTACATAGTTCTACACTTAGATAATTAAGCCCAGAAATGTTTACCAAGTCATCTTTTAATCTAAATATGCCCAGAATTATTTGCAACTACAACAATAATGGACATAAACCCAAGATGTCACACTATACTTAAAGACTGGAAATATATTAATAGTGAGAGAGTTCAAGTGACGATTGTATGATATGTATGACTTTTAAGAAGACTAGCTGGTTAATATCGTAAATCGTATTATGGACATAATTACTAGTAATCTTAATAAATGATTGAACAATAAATAGTAGTAGCAAACGTTGGCTTAATCTCATATGGATCGTAACTGTCAATGTTGAATTGTTTCGATTAAAGTACAAATATTGTGATGTCAGTTTTATTTTATATTATTGAATTATTGTTCAGAAGTTACTCAAAGTTGACATAACAAAGCGTAGAATGTATCCTAGGTCAAATGTTTGTGTAATTATGCCCAAAATGTATCTCATACTACACATATGTATAATTAGGTCCAGAAAGTATTCCATGATACATATTTATGCAAGTAAGCCTAGAATGTATCCCATGTCACAAGTTTGTGTAACTAAGCCCAGAATGTCGCACATATCCATAATTAGGCTTAGAATGTATCACATATCGCACATATGTATAATTAAGCCCAGTGTGTTTTCCATGTCACACATGTGTATAATTAAGCCCAGTGTGTTTCCAATGTCACACATGTGTATAATTAGACCCAGAACATCTCTCCTAAACTGAGTTTGTCACTGACTTTATACTCTAGTCATAATGTTGCTCCTCTTTCTGAGGTGTTAAGTCCATATGAATAGTTAATTTAAATGCTTACCTTTTACAAATAACCTAAGTCTAATTTCAATATACAATTATGTTTAATATTAAAGATGTTAATAAACTTTTTTAAAGGATTAAAAAAAAAAGGTTGAGTCTTTTTCAAAACAGTCTTTACCGATCCTTTTCAAAGCCTAACTTATAAAATACTACCGAGCTTATTGGAGTCCAGTGACATATTTGAATTTACTGATGGTACGAAACTGGACATATCTGTATATCGTAGAAGTATAATCGCAATATTTAATATTGATAATTATATTTTGAAAATTTAATACTTGAGCTGTAAAAACGAGTATGTTGGAAAGTGTATTTGGTGTGCAAAAGCTTGAATATGTTCGAAAGGTATAGCTAATCTTGATATTTTAGGTAAACGTAATTTTGGTAAATATTAGTGTTAACTTCTGATCAAAGTAGAACTAAAAATACGCCAATAATTAGCATAGTCAATTAAAAATATTGTTCACACTATCTTACTTATAAGGATTAGAATGCATTGCTTCATCAACTGGATACTCTCACTGTTAATTATATATTTCGGCCGTAAACCCAATAATATCTCCCAAAGTTCCGCCAGTCCTAGATGCTATGGTTATTGCTTTATCCATATAATAAACTAAAAATGCAGAATAATCATTACAATAAAATTATAAACATAAAAACTAATAAATATAAGTAGATATATTAAGTATTCTAACCAACACTGTGTGTCCAAGTAAGAACTACCACAACATAGTAACAGTTTGACTTGTTTAGGCCGATATCCAAGTGAGAACACCACACCGTGTTAACAGTTATACTTGGCACGGCCAGATTGATAGGCTTAGGTTATCCCTAAATCTATAAACTAAGCTAATTGTTTGTAGTTAAGCACAATGCTACACAAAGAGCTATCTGTGCTCTGGCCAACAAGGGTATCGAAACCCGGTTTCTAGCGTTCTAAGACATACATAAAGATAAAATTAGTTATAACAAACATAATAATCAATACTGTTAATGAAATTGACCGTAAAGAAGGAGAGAGTATGGTGTGATAAAAGTTTCACTTGTCTCGGTCAACTTAGTAGATTTAGGTTAGTCGTCAATCCACAAACTAAGCTAACAATGTGAAATCATTTTTATATTAAACAACAAAATAAGAATTAGCTACAATATATATATGTACATGTAATAACTAATACTGTTAATGACAGTAATCTTATGAAAAAAAGACGGGTATAACTAACTCACTTATTATTATACACTTCAATTTTACGTTGTACAGTACTACCTTACCTTAATCGGTTGCCTGCATTAGTTGAAAGGTACAGGTGCCCTTCTTTCAGAACACTTGGGTGGTCTGTCAATGTTACGTCATCTGTTACTGAAGGACTCATCGAGATTTGCTCGGCACCTGTCGGGTATTGTCGGACATCGTTTGCTTTTGATTCTTCATTTAAAAATATCGGTAAAATGTTTCCGTTAGTAAAACGAGCAGTAACGAGGTCTTCAGTTGACCTGCTGATGGATAGCCGATGGCCTCTTTCAAGACAAGACTTCATGTCTCTGGAATCATAAAACTAATCTAATCAGTGACTGGTGAGTAAAATTTGGACACTTCTAAAAATAAGGACACGTCATAATTTCATAAGTTTCACATTTTAATAAATATTTTCAACGAAAGATATAAGTGCTTGTGATTTTATTCGTGAGTAAGTAACCATAGGATTATGCGTTTCTAGTCTGTTAGTAAATTACGACTTTTTATTTGTGAGTAATTGTTGACACGGTCATTACTAAATCTTGATGGACTCGACGTTGCGGGCGTAGCTCTTACAGTATATTCCTGAAGTTACATGTATTACATATAATAGAAATATTGTTCTTCAAATCTGTGATAACAGTTGTATGAAAATAAAACTAATTAAACGTTACAAATCATTGTAAACATTGGTCGTAAAGATACCATTTGGATCTATTATACATTTGAAATATTTCTTTTTATTTTCTTCAATGCATATACCACATATAACAGAAAGTTAAAGAAAAATGTTGTTATTCAACTCTGTGATAACCGATGTATGAAAAATGAAACTAACTAAACATTACAAACCATTGTATTGACCATAAACATGCGATCTGGACCTACTATACTACACATTTGAAATAATTCATTTTTTCTTTAAAGATATTTTACGAAATACATCTTTAACTGTTACCTTTATATACAACACTTTCTCTGTTACTAAACTGGTTAACTGGTACTGAAAGTTGATTAAGGACAACAACGTATCGTGAAAAATCTAATCATCAATATTCAAGCGTGTTTTATAGCAGACTTGCTTGCACAAAGCTACATAAATGGACTAACTGTGCTGTGCCCGCCACCGGTATATCGAAACTCAATTTTTAGTGTTATAAGTCCGCAAACATACCGCTGAGCCACTGGAGGCTAGTAGACTTGTTATTTACATATACTTCAGCTAATCAGATCACAAAGTTCAAAATTATAGAAGATTAAATATACACATGGGAACCTTCTGTGACTTTACACTATTATGCTCCTGTCTCGCTCAAAGCTTGAAAAGTACAGTATAGCTATTTGATAAAAATATTAGCAATACTCATAGAAATATTTTTGTTTAGAAACCACGTATTTATTAATTATTTTAAGCCACCAATAAATACAACTGACTGTCACACAAAAACATTACTATTTTACTTTCACAAATAAATACCCACTATTTTTGAGGAGCAAGCCAGAACATGCGTGGAAAAAAATAGATTTACTCTAAAACCCCACCTAAATGGAATTATTAACCGCGTTTAGCGTTTCGTTTTTGTTTTTGTAATATTTAAGTCAAAACCATTCAGATCACCGACATTTACTAGGCTAACCCATAAACTACATTCGACAATTCAATCAAAACTGGTCCAACTTTCTCACAAACTTTCAACATTTACTTACTTGGATTAAATCTTTCTATTTTTGTGCGAATACTTTTCTTCAGTTTTAACCTATGATAACAAAGTGTACATTTCATAAAAGCATTTCATTCAGACACAAAATAACGACAGCTAGTACATATATTAATATATGTGTTCTTTGTAAACGCAAAATACATCACCAAAAAACTAAAAGCTTTACTTCAGAGCAAATGTAAAATCCGATGGATTAGGATATTTGTCCAGATTAGTTTAACAATTCAATAACAAACATGTGTTATACACCCGTGCCTCCTCAAAACATGGCAAATCACTGATACTCACAAACACACTGAAAAAGAACAAAGCTTATAATTCCCGCCGACGTCGTTGGATTGTGGTATTCAGTTTACAAACACCTCAGATTTTGCTATTAGGCTATATATATATATATATAAAGAATTTTCTTTCTTGCAACAATAAAGATTTCGAGAAATAAATCTGATAAGGAATCAGAATTGTTGTCCTTATAAGCACGACTGTTCCATTAGCGGATTTCAATAACAGCCTAATGCAACAATCATAATCTGATGACATAAGCAGCTTATAATAAAGGAACGTTAGGGGATTTCGCAAAGACATATTTTCTGATGATAATGACGTTTCATATTTCTTCTTATTGTAAGTAAATATCTAACCTGAACAAAAACAAACTGAAACTAAACAACAGCGCTAAACCTTTCACTGGTTTGAAACAGTGTTATTACTTATATTGATTAGTAACCAAAAACTTCACTAAAACTTTAACTTACTCGAAACTAAAGTGTTGATACTTATATTGAATAGTAGCCAAAAACTGCACTAAAACTTTCACTTACTCGAAACTAAAGTGTTAATACTTATATTGATTAGTAATCAAAAACTTCACTAAAACTTTAACTTACTCGAAACTCAAGTGTTAATACTTATATTGAATAGTAGCCAAAAACTGCACTAAAACTTTCACTTTACTCGAAACTAAAGTGTTAATACTTATATTGAATAGTAGCCAAAAACTGCACTAAAACTTTAACTTACTCGAAACTCAAGTGTTAATATTTATATTGATTAGTAGCCAAAAACTTCACTAAAACTTTCACTTACTCGAAACTCAAGTGTTAATATTTATATTGATTAGTAGCCAAAAACTTCACTAAAACTTTAACTTACACAGATTAATTGGGGCAGCGGAAAGTTAAAGAGCTCATAACGCAAAACATCGGGTCTCGATATTCACGGTGGGCAAAGCTACAACTTAGCTTCATATAAAACCAATTCTTGATTATATGAAGCTAAGTTGTAGAACAGATTAATTGGTACTGAACCAGTTCTTGATTATATGTAGCACAGATTAATTGGTACTGAACCAATGCTTGATTATATGAAGCTAAGTTGTAGCACAGATTAATTGGTACTGAACCAATTATTGACAGTACCAATTAATCTGTGCTACAACTTAGCTTCATATAATCAAGAATTATTTTCGAACGAATTTGGCATTAAATATTTGCTTCAACAGAGAATTTTCTGAAGAAAAATAATCACACACGCATCACAAAAAGCTAATCAAAACGACTTTGGAAAGTTTCAATGTATTAAAATAGATGAATTTATCTCACGCTTAAGCCCTTTCTTATGTCTTAAAATAGTAACGTTTTGTAATTTTAACAAGGAGCAATTCAAACGTGTCTTCGTGCTCCGAAGTATTACTACAAGCAAACCTCTCTCGGTTTATAACTAAATAACAGTTTTGTAAACCTATTTTAAAACAAAAATTAAAAGGTATTCTAACAAAAATATACTAACAATTTTTAATACATATTTCTGAATGATAATAGGAACGACTCTGTTAGTTTTATGTCAGTGTGAATCAAACACTTAATTTTAGCGTTAACCATCAAGTTCACGTTAGTTTAAAAATATGCAACTGGGCTGCTTTAAACAGATTTTTAGCTGAAGAGAGAAAGATGGTTTGATTCAATTTACTAGCCATCACGCAAAAAATATTTTATGAAGCTACTAATATTTTCCGAAATATGATTTTCAGTGCAGACTGAAAAATAATTTGTAACAGTCGATAAAAAGCAACATATTAACTTTCTCTATTAGATAATATCTTGAACAGGCAGTATTTAAGTTTCCTTGGGTGGGGGGGGGAGATATAAAAATTATATATATTATATACTAGTATATGCCCGTTGAAATAATTCAACTGTAATTTTCCTAAAAACAGTAATGAATAAATACAAAATGTGCAGTCAACCCAATCCCTTGGATCAGAGTGTAAATACAATATGATTGTCCCGTGTGCCGTATACAACCGTATTTTGTCATTCCACGTGTTATTTCAACTAGTAAAATAGCACTGCGTTTGTTTTTAAGGAAAGGAGACTAACATCAATGTATTGTTGGTAAAAATGTTCGCTAAGTAGCCACGGGGATTTTTATACGTTGAATGTCACCATTCCTTCTCATTTTACTGAATGCAAGAAAAGACCGATACCGAAGTGAGCGGCCCTCCAGTGGCACAGAGGTATGTCTGCGGATTTACAATGCTAGAATCCGGGTTTCGATACCCGTGGTGGGCAGAGCACAGATAACCCATTGTGTAGCTTTGTGCTTAATTACAAAACAAGCACAAAGCTACTCAAGGGCTATCTGTTCTCTGCCCACCACGGGTATTGAAACCCGGTTTCTAGCGGTATAAGTCCACAGACATATATAAACAGAACAACAACAAATATCTACTCAAACACGTTCCTCTGTTTATGCGTTTTTTCCGTTCATGCTCCTATCTGAGAATTATGTTTTTTCAATCAGTCGACGAAGGCAGTCCTATTTTTCTAGTGAAATTCCCTCACAAAAAGAAAGATTTTGTTCCTAATACGTTTCTTCTCAGATTGACTGTTTAAAACATATGAAGACTGACGGATCGATGTTTATACGCAAGTTTAGGAATTACAAAAAAGTAAATAATTTTCCTGTAATATAATCTTGAAAATAAACATTTTGATATATATGTTTATATTCTACGATTAACCGTTCAGCAAATAAAGAGCGTGACAGACAAACATTTGGCTATTGTATATATATATATATATATGGATAATAAATAAAATAGCAAAAGACACTATATGTGTAATAAAGTTATATAGATGAGTACAAGATCAGTGTCACACACTGTCTGATTTTAACCGTGTTTTTAATGAGTACTTTTGTAATTTTATATTTTATATGATGTGTTTCACCTGTGTTGTGATAATATTTATTTAATATCCTGCACATAATTTTCCGTCCTGAGTTTGCAATACACTATTAAAATCTTACTTATCTCATCACAAAATGCAACTTAAAGAATGCCCATTTCTAGAAAAAAAAATGTTTCAGCTTAAAAAGTAATGTTGAATTTACTGAAATACTCTTATTTTTGACATTGCAATAAAAGTATCTATTCTCATGGTGTAATAGTGTAAACCTAGATGGCAGCATTATCAGATATACGGTTTACAAGAGCATAAAAGTACAATGATTCTTGATTTACATGACAATAAGTAAATAAATAATGTTAAGTACGGTAGTTAATAGTAGGGATCGAAAAGGATTACAAATAATTCACGCGCCGACAAACCACTCTATCGAATTCCTAATTGGCCATTTAAAGTATTGGTTACGATATATTATGCACATATATACTAATAATACGCTAAAAAAAGGTCGCTAACATTTCAGGAATAACAATTAAAAAATTTCTAAAACAGCAGCTTTTTTGTCTACTATCTACCTACCTACCTAGGCGGTTCGGACTATTGCTATTAGATTTTTCCAACTTACTTGACTGGTCTGTAGGTATCCGCTTTTGATATTCTGATAAACATATATATATATATTTTTATAAATGGTAAACATATCATTCACGTATTTAACTATCTTTTCAATCCAAAGGATGGCGCTATATATCGATGGATAAACACGCGACAGTTTCTTAAAGTAAAATATATACTTTATAAGCGTATAGCATAAAGCACTTTATACGCTTATCTGTAGGCCAAAGTAGGGATTAAATTTTATAAGTTTGTGATTGTGGTTTTAATTTTTGTCTTATAACTTTTTATAGCAGGATCCCTACTTCATTTTAAAATTCATAATTTTTAATACTCTTGTAAGAAACAGCTTTTGTGGTTTATGTTATGTAAAATTTAAAAATAATGTTTATCATTAGTTATATCTTACTGTGAGCAAATATCAGATGTATTCGATGTATTACTTACATCTATCTATACATTGAAATTGTGTATCCTTTTGTTTACTTCGAAACTCATTCTTCAATGAACTGCTAAATATATTCGATAAACGCAAAGAATAAGATGTCAGGAATCATATTTACTTTGGCATATTCGACTTTACAAATAAACCTATGCTTGTAAAACATATAGGGTATCAAACGTAGATACACCACAAATATCGAAGAGCCCAGAAAGTAGAACCTCACCAATCAGGACTGAACTAAAAAGCTAGTTGAACAACCAGTTAATAATCGAAGTAAAACTTTTATGAGAAGAGTTATATGATGAATATATATTTACTCATCAGAGCACCTGACAGTTATAGACGTATTTAGTCTCCATATTAACTTTTCCTTATGATGATTTTACTGGAACGGCGAGAGGAGATCCTGGCATAACTACATTAATTGTTCTATATGAGCATTATCGATTGTGGTATCTGAAGTGTTTAATTATATACAAAGAAAGTGATGTTTTAATTAAATAAATATTTGTAATTCTCGCCGTTATTACTACATCAAGCTTGAGGTGGATCGTCATCTCTCTACTGGTACTTGTTTATGGTACTTGTACAATTGTTCACAATCGCTTTCACTTAACTAACGGCGTTACTTTTTTTCAAAAAAGTCAGTAATATGAATGAGAGGAAAATGACAGTTGAAATTAATTTTTGATGATACACCATAGAAAATCTTTAACGTGTGCCGGATATAAGCATTATGTATTGTCTTATTGCTGGGGGAAAAATTCTCATTTCGGCAAGCTCCATAATCTAAACTTGGTTCATAGCCTAGACAATTGCAAAGATCTTTGTGTGTATTTTTGCAGCATTGAATAAAATATTATGTTCTTCTGTGTGTATAATAAATTTACCCTTACACTCGAAGTATTTTTCTATTATATAATGCTGAAAAGTCAAATGAAACCACAATATAATTTAACTTGAATACCTTTTGTAACGAACTTATTATTATATATATATTTATTTTAATATTAACGTTTGTTTAGATTAAATTTATATTTAAAAACACACATAGCTTATACTGTTAAATATGTATTGCGAAACTCCCGCCTATTCTCCAAAGTTATAGAAGATTCTCGAGAGTAAGAATCAACAATATGTGTGTACGTAAACGCTTGTGTTAACGCCAGTATTGTTACGTAAAACTGAAATTTCTAGAAAACCTCCACACGCCTATAAGTATAACCAACACGACGCGCCAAAAAGAGAGTATCTATTATTAGTTTGCTATAGTCAGTATGCTACAAACTTTGGAAGGTATAACTGTAACTGTTATAACGCTTATCAATCGGAAAACTTCAGGTATTTGACCAGGAGCATTTACAAAGTTCGAACATTACAACTAATTTAACTTCAGTGGATTCTCATCAGACATTAGTATTTTTACGAAAACATTACATAACGTCACGGTGGAAAATCCGGTG